ATTCATGGGTCACCAACACAACCCCAACACCCAACAACATCATATTCACATGTGGGTTCCATTTGTGATTTATGTCCCAAAAGCTAAATCATATAACAATCCGACATCGGCGGTCATATATATGGTTTACACTTTAGAAAAAAAAACTTATAATAACTTACAGAAAATAAAATAAAAATATCTCCTCATATGAGAAACTTATAAATAATTAAACTTGTTTTATGTTAGTGTAAACTGTGTATATAATTCTTTTATACTTATACATATAATACTTTTATATATATGCTGTCAAAACTTTTAACAATCAATGATTAGTTTTTAAGAAAAGTATTATAAAATTAACAAATTTTAACATAAATCTTTATCGATTGTGTATTTATCTAAAGAAGATTAATCTATAATGTCCGCTTTTCTTATCTTTGATGTAAGTTCATAATCTTTAATGGATCCACTATCGATACATACTAAATATATAACAAGTAATATATTGAATTGATATTAAATAATGAAAATAAAAGTTCCTCCATCTAAAAGCTTAAGCTTTTATCTTTCGGAAGGAAGAGAGATTAAAAAATTAAGAGAAAAAATAAAAAATATTTATCATGAGTATGATTAATTTAACAAACAAAAAATATTGATTAATTTTAAAAAAATATTAAAATTTTATTAGTTAAAATTTAATACGATAATCATGAATAAAAGATAGTTAATTGTGAAGAAGTATTTTATAACATTAAAAATATTATAAGTATATTATTTAAAAGTAAATTTTAAGTAAATCAATAAAAAGATAAAATAGATAACAAATTATAAAATTAAAATGTAATTTATAGGTAAGATAAGAGAAATATAATATTATTAAAAATACAATAATATTATAATACATAAATAAATATAATTAATTTTATAAAATAAAATATATTATTATTTATAAGATGATGACAAATGGTGTTAAAATATTAATAATTGATTGTTATAAAATAAATCCTATATTATAGGTTGAGCTATAGTTGAATTTGACCTGGTTTTAAAAATTTTGATAATATAATTTTATAAATAATTGATTAAAATTTTAGTATAGTTTGATAGTATATTATGTCAACATATTAATAAATCAATTTTGATATGATTGAAATTATTTTTAAAAAATTATTATATATAAATAAAATAAATTAATTTTAAAAATATTATTTTTAAATTTAAATTTTATTAGTAAAATTAATTTTTATTTAAGATATAATAATGTAATATATAAATTATAAGAGAATAATCTATTAAATCTTAAATTAATAATTAAAAAATTAATAATTATTATTATTTATTTTTAATAATTTATTAATTTAAAATAATAATTAATCTTAACTATTATATTTAATAATAAATTATTATTAAATATTTATTTTATTATTTATTCTTAGAATAAATAAATATTTGTAAAAATAATTAATAATATATATATATATATATATTAATAAATAATATTATTTGTAGTTTTAATTTTAAAAAAATATTATTTTATAAAATAGATTATCCCATAAATTTATATATTAATTTAACCTAAATATATAAATTATACTTTAAATAGGATAGATTAAAATAAACTTAAATTAATTTAAATCATAATATTTTTTTGACATAATATGTTTTATTTTTATAATTTTTGATTAATATCAAGTCTATTTTTTTTATAGTCATAAATTAATTTTATATAATTAATTATGATCAATTTATAAATTAATTTGGTAGAATTGATTATAATAATAATAAGGTATAACATTGTTAAGATCAAAAGCAAATAAATTCAATAATAATAATAAAAAAATTAAGCAGATTTTTTTATGTCTTTTTATACTAGTCTGACTACCATTTTTTATTTCTCTTCTCAGACATAAACGTACTGTAAATGAATAGGTATAGGCAATTGATGAATATATATACTAAAAAATAATAATTTATTAATAGATATTTTTAAAATTTAATTATTTAAAATAATAAACTATCTTAATCATTATATTATAGTAAATAAACAAAAATGAATAATAATTTTTACATTTTTAAAAATCATATTGTAATAATTTAAATAATTAAAATTTTAAATTATTATGTCTATTTATTGTTTATTTTTCATTTTATATTACGCAAAGTAACTATAATTTAAATTTTAGATTTACTTACTTTGTAGTTTTTTAATGAAATTTACCATCCTGAGTCCCATTAATTTTTCATGCGAAATATGAAAAAAAAATACAAAAAGAACATTGTTAAAGTAAGATACTTTGGAAGTACTGAATAAGAAAATAAAATAACAAAATTAAACAAATATCAGATATTAAAGTCTAAATATATTAATCTACAAAGATAAATAATAATAATAATAATAATAATAATAAGTTATCAACTTTACGAATTATAAATAATAAAATAATCATGATTTATTATTTATACCATGGTCGTGTTTTTTTAACGACACCTGTGCTTTCTCTGAACCTTTCCTCACGCCACCAACCATAGTTGTTCATTAATATACTTTATTTGATTCAAATTTGAAATAAGGAAACCAATTAGAAGTAATTAAGTATTGGTTTGACTTATAGAATTTATTGGATCAAACGTCCCCAATAAATTCTTCTATTATATTTCATTTAATTTTTCTCTGTTTTTTCGGTGAAACATTAATAATTATACACAATTTTCCGACGTAATGATTAGGCCGTATTATTTATTTTTACTATTTTTCAAAACCTGTTTTAAGTAGCGCTAAATCGTTAAAATCATAACATATTTTTTTTTCTAAATTAGGTTTATAATAAAAAAAAATAAAAATTACTCATTCTTCTACCAAACGCATAATGTGATGTTTCATTACCTCTGACACTAAGTTAAAATACCACAACACAAATTTGGTGACTAAGGTTGGGAAGGTGAAATAGGATGAGTTTGCTTTGTTACTTTGTCCTGTCCTAATCAACAATTCAGATTTTATCTACAAGGACAAGTTGATTTGAGAAAAAGTAAGATAGGATAAATATTTTTCCATCCTCGATTTCATGCCACACTTAATCATTCTTTCTAATTTTTATTATTATTGTAATTATTATGTAATTATTACCTTATTATCATTATTAACATATTGTCATTTATTTTATTCCATTAACCTACATTTTATGAATTTAATCACATCAGTAAACAAATCCTAACAATTTAAAACATGAATAAAGAATATAACTTCCAAACATGTGATTTGATTCGTTAAACCTATCAATGTCCTTCTACTGATTTAATTACGATTTAGCTTATTGAATCTACTTATACTGTTTATTTAAACATTAAACCCAACGATGGTCTAAATGCATTTATAATTTCTCCACAAGTTTAAAACCAATAGAGTTTATTTGTGTTTTCAATGCACAACTCAAACTTAGAATGCAGGCATAATGACATGGATTGGATTTTAAGAGTCTTGAAATTAGATTAATAATTTAATTGATCTATTTTACGGATCAAAGTAGTTCATAAAGAAAGTGTGGTTTAATTTTAAAAAACATGAATGATGGGTTATAGTATTGTTGAAGATACACTTAATTTTGACTCAATGTGGAGATAGAGATGTAAGTATACGGCGAATCCAAGAAATGTTTCTCCATTTCGTTTTCCATGAAGCATGTGAATAGTCTGGTGCAAAGCTTTTGGAGTATGCGAAAGGGAATGGTTGCTTAGAACGTAGAGGAGTGGGAAAAGAGAATCACAGTTGTGATAGCATTACGAATCGGATAATTGGATATGATTTTGTCTAATGATGCACGATGCTCATTCTTATCCCTTGTGCTCCAACTAATAAGTAATTTGCTACTTTCACAAGCAAATAAAAAAGCACAATGTCAAACGATGTATGTAACAAGCAAAAAATAAAAATTACTCATTATGTTTGATATCACAAAAATCGTGGAGGATTGGGTATTCAAGTGGTTTACATTACAGAATAGACCGAAAAAGGCATGATCAAGAATCATTGTAGCAAATTTTAAAATTTGAAAAAGGGTCATACGTGATACTGTGAGGGTATCAACGTGCATATGCATTAGCCTATTTTTCAATTTTCCCTGCAAACAAAAAGTCAATCTTCGTTTAATTCGAATATTGTCCAAATCATGGGATATAAGGACCCCACCACTTATCTTTTGAATTTACATAAAACTTGGAATAAAAGCCAGCATCGGCGGCAGATCTATAATCACCATTTAAAAAAAAAAAAAACTAACACTTGAAATAATTAAAACATAGGAGACGCAAACCTGATACTGAATTTTGCCAAACTCCAAAATCTAATATTTTCCAATCAGAAGCAGTTAGAAGAAGGGGATATTTGAAGGAGGTTATTTGATTGAGATTATAAATATCTAGAGACGGTTAAAGTTAGATAGAATAAGTGCTAATGATATATTGAATATGGTTAATTAAATTGAGTAGGGAGTAGTTAATAAATATTGGGCATGGGTATGTTTTAAATATGAATTTAGTGTATGAGAGCATATTGTTAAATATGGTGTGTCCTTGAATGATGGGATGTGGTATGGCAATGATATTTGAGTGAAAGGCTGTGATGGGAGTTAAGATTAGGAGTGGAGAGATGGGAGGTGGGTTGTGGAGACAAAAACAGGGACAAATGTCTCCAACTACTGGGCCATCCTTCCAGTTGTTCTCAAATTCCACCCTTCCCTCTCTCTCCTATTTTCTTGCACTAATAATAATAATAATAATAATAAAATTTAAATTTTAAATTTGGGAGTGCCTCAAAAGGACCCTGAAACCTTAATAAAAGCAGATTGTCTTCAACATTCTATGCTCCAACTCTCTCTCTCTCTCTGTTATCTCACATCCTTTCCTTGTTGGGTCACTGGGCCTGCAAACAGAGCAACCTCACTCACATTATTAAATCCCCCAACCATAACCTTCACACCTTGCACTTCACAACGCTTCCTTAGTCCTTCCTAAGTACTACCATGGGTGATGCCGCCCTCTGCCTTCCGTCGCACTTCCTTGCCGGCCACGGCCATGACATCAAAAACAACTGCAAGAGCGTCGATTTCGACGCCACCTTCGCCTTTCCTTCGGAGTTCCCCTACGAGTTCGGAATGTCTTCTCCGGCGGTCGAGTCGTCGGCGGGGTCCACGGAGGCCGAAAGCAGCGACGGCGAGGAGGACTTCTTCGCCGGCTTGACTCGCCGACTCAGTCTGTCCTCGCTCAACGAAACTCGGAAACAGCTTTCTGCCATGCCTATTAAACCAGACCACGCAACATTCTCGGAGATTCCAAGGAAGACTCAGGGTTTAGTCGGGTCGCCGCAGTCCACGTTGTCCGGAATCGGGAGCTGGTCCGGTGGGAGCGCCGGTTCCGGAGATGGAAGCCCGAACGGGTACTCGCGTGTTCCCTCGCCCTCAACGACGCAGTTTGACGAAAACAACGACCCCTGGGAAGTCATATACGCAGCCGCAGGACAAGTCGCAAGATGGAAGATGAATAACAGCCATGTTTCACAGTTTGATGTCCAGAACAGCAGGGGTTTACTTACTCATTCTCGTCCAAACCAGAGTTTTAGTCAGGTTAACCAGGTAAGAAGCTGTTTTTGTAATATTTTCTCACTTGGTTCTTGATATGCCTTTACCCACAAATGTGCCCTGTTTTAGTCCTGTAACTGGTTAATGTTGGATTTTAATAGTGTTTGATTTGTTGTTGACTCCGTAGTTTGTGAGACCGAAGCAGCAGTGTGGTTCTGTTTGGGGAAGGCCAACCAGGCCTAACTGGTCTGGTCAGCAGCAACAGGTTCAGGTTCAAAACAGAGCGCGTGAGTTTGGCCACGAGAGTGTGAATGTAAAATGCACTCGTCCTTTGTGTTTGCCCCAATCTGCATGGCCCTCTCCGCAAGTTCAGCAGCAAAATAGTCGCGTGCAGTTTGCTGGATCCGGGTCTCGGGCTGCTGTACCCGGTGCAGGTGGATCTTCTGTGAAAAGGGTGTGTGGTGGAACTGGAGTTTTCTTGCCACGCCATTATGAAACCCCTTCCGAATCTCGTAAGAAAACTGGTAAGTGATTATTTTCCTTTTACTGCTACCTTTCTCTGTTTTGCCTCTTCTCAGTACGTCTCAGTTGTGCTGGTTGAATTTATCTTTTGGGTGTGTTTTTATTTTGGTCAGGTTGTGCTCCTCCTGTTTTGTTACCAGCAAAGGTGGTTCATGCATTGAACTTGAATATTGATGACCTAAATGGTGCTAGCCAACAACGCTTCTCGAACGCTTTTGCTTCGGATTATGGTGAGTTCGGCTTTACAGTATAATCTTCTGAACACGTCCTTCTTGGCATGAGCATTGTACTCACTTTTCTGGTGTATTTTTTGCTTACAGACGCGATTATAGCGAGGAGAAAGGCGCTTCTGATGCAGCAGAGATTAAGTTTTCGCCGAGAAGAGGCAACTAACTACGAAATACGCCTACCACAGGAGTGGACTTATTGACTGTAGCAGCAAAAGAATATCTCCAAGGAAAACTTTTATGGAGAAAAAAAAAGAATAGTTTGTGGTTTTATTATTTAGGTTGTTTTGACAGAAGATGAAATTGAAGAATGTGTTTGGTTAGTTTAGTTCAAATAAAGCATCCAGTTTATCTTTCTAGTACTAGTTCTAGGAAGAGAAGCTAGGTTGCAGCTTTTGGGGCCTGGTTTAGTTTTAGTGGAGGGAATAGTAAAAGAATAGCAGATTAGGCAGTGCTTTTTACTTTTTTTATTTTTTTCCTCTTTTACCCTTTTAGATTAATATTATTAGTATCATTAGTAGTCGTAATAATGATAATAAGATAAAAGCGGGTCGTTTTCTTTTGCGTTATTATGGTTATGGTGATGATGATACTGATGGGGCTAAAGCGCAAGGTATGGCTCAACGGTGTCCAAGTTTCAATTTGAAGTCAAGCTAAAGCTAGCCAGAAGCGTTGAAAATTGGGCGATGACCCATGTGTTCCTTTGCTGAAAATCCTTGCTCATTATTACGGTATAGATTATGTAATAAGTTATATATACTGTGTAATAAAACTATCGTTTTTGCAATTCTGTGTATTTATTCCCTTTTATACTCTTCCTCATGAACATAATGCTAACTTAACACCCTTTTGAACCAAGAATAATGGTGTTACGGATTCCGGGACTATCTGTCACAAATTTGAACGAAAAAGGAGGGGAATTTAATTTAAGGAAGATATTGATTCATGGGATGGTACTTGTGTGTACAATTTTTGAATTATCCATCCAACATTGTTTAAAAGTGAAGGAAAGAATAGGGCGGGAGGATTTGGGGGAAAGGATAGATTGTGATTGCATTGAATTGAATTTGATTGAAGGGAGGGGGAGTGGTGGGGATATGATTGCGGTGATGGATTTATACGTACGTTATTTGGTTGGATTTTGATGGGTGAGTTGGGTCCAATCTAATCCAATACATTGTGTGAATTCTCAACTCAACTCAACTCAACACAACCTAGTTTGGTAGGTCCATCCTTCTTCTTCAATATCGCTTTTCTTTTTTTCCTTAAACTAGCAACTAACGATCACATCTTTTGAAAGTAGAGATCTTTTTTGATTTTGACTTGGTCAAACTTCCCCATCATACGTACTCTACCACTAGTAATAGTACTCTGTGTAATTATCCTTTCTCGATTATTTTTCATTTGAAAAGATTGTGTTTGGGTACATGTGCTGTGTTGTGTCCTTTCCCTAGCTATTCCATTATTTTGTGGGTGTAACTACCAGTACGGCCTCACCAAATTATTTGTAACCGGATAACTTTCACACTCTTTCATTTTTTACTTAAACTCTCCACTTTAGCTTCATTTTACCCATTTACAGCCATCAAATTATTCTTTCGTATTAAAGAGAGTTAATTTAAATATTAAATATATTTTAATGATGAAAATTAATTATACACTACAAAATGACATCATACTTGTTTACTTCGTTCCAAAATTCCACTTGCTGTAACGATGGTTACACTATTTTCTGGTGTATGTAACAGCAAGAGAAATAAATATTTCAATTTTGAATAAAAGCATTTTCAAGTAAAAACATATATATTTATAATTTTAAGTTTATTATTTTTTCGATCGCTTGTACAGTTTATTTGTGGTTGACCCAAACGAGTTTGAGAAGAAGGTTTGTAAATACGTATAGCATTAAAACATAGCCTGTAAATAATGTAAAGAAAGAAGGTAGTAGAAGAGATAAGTTGTAGCCACGTGGAGGGTCTCAAACTCTGAACATAGTTACCAATAGTTTGGTGTGACATCACGCCTTTCTAATTTTTATTATTTCTCTTCTCCACCAATTGGATGAATAGGGGCTCAAACCTGCTTATTTTGTGGCCCATGCCTAGCCCGTAAATCACGTTTTCATGGGTCCAGTTTTTTTTTTTTTTTTTTTTCAGTCCATTGTATTTTTATACCATTTTTGCTATTTATACGCAGAATACAAAGTAACGACCACACTAACCAAAAAAACCGGGGAATCAAGTAGAATAAGTCTACACACGAATTAAATATTCTCTGTACGCTTTCTAATCAGTTATTAAAAACTATGCACATTAGTCATGAGCAATTTTGTAATTAAGTTTTGGGTCTGCTTAATATAAATCAAAATCAACTTATGAAGAAATTCAAATAAAAATTAATAAAATAATAATTATTTAAAATTTATATATATATATATATATATATATTTTTTTATAATAAAATTATATTAAAAAAATATTTTTTATTTATCTTACTAAAGTTAGTTTAACCAAAAAAATTGACCAAATTGTTTATTTTATAAAATTTTCTAATTTTATTTCAATTTAATTAAAATTAAATTATTTAAAAATAATAAATCGATTTTTGTACGTATTCTCCATTAAATGAATTGAATCACCAATTCCATTCAATTTTAAACCAGTGATTCTTGCATATGGTGATGATTTTATAAGGTTGAGTTTATAATTTGGTGCTTGAAGATGTGTCCGGTCTTATCCCAAAATTTTGATTGATTTGTGAAGCGAAGCTTTTGTGTTAATGATTTGATGTCTGAGCTAGCTACTTAGTTAATCATCATTTGCAATACATGCATCAGACACATGCCTCTTTTTTGGGTTAGTGCCGACTATTGTGCATCGTGGACTCATCTTAACACTCACTCGCGTGCACTTGGTTAATCATTTGCAACTAACAATCTACTAATAAATAATTATGCATCACTTGTAATTAATTTTATAAGTAAATATAATGTGATATGAAAAAAACTCTAGTCATTAAAATAAATAACCATTTTTCTTTTTCTTAAAGTCAACATTTTCACTCTATTCCTACTTTCTTTGGCTCTTCACTCTAATTTCACTTTACTTGCTATTTTTTTTATCATCCGTGGAAAGAAAGTGTGAGAGTGAAGGGATTTCTGTTGACATCATTGGTGTTTCATTCATGGTGGATACAGAATCAACTTTTGAGTTGTCATTTCCAAACCTTTTTTGCTTTTCAATTGTCATTTCATAACCGAAAGAGGGCATCTTTCAATTTATTCAGCAGAATGCGGAGAAAAAAAAAAAAAATATAAACGAGGGCCATCATGCAAATGCAACGATTAATCCTAACAATATGCTACAAACAAAGTCTACGACGATGCTAAAATACAATATGTTTCTGACTTCGGTTAAATATAATTTTAATTAGTTTTCTAGTAAACATCTAATTATAGGACTTAATAGAAAAACAAAAAAAGCACTATAAAATGTAAAATTCTCTATTTCAAAGATTCATTAAAAAAAGAGAGAATTGGGTTGGGGAAAAGGAGGGGTCTGAATCCTATTGATATGAAAGTTCTTTTTTTTTAAATAATTTTCAACAAAGTAGATTTGAGTACTAGCCCAATTATGTATGGGCTCACCGAATTAGTCAGCGACGAGTTCTATCAGGCCTAGCCCATTCAGTGTTAACTGGTAACCTTGTTTTGTTTTGGCTCCTTCTTCTTGTATTCCCATCATTTTTTTTCCTGCACCACTGATTCATGTAAAATAATCAAAATATTTTTTCAAAAATTTTTGTTTGAAATCTTTAAAGCTTTTTCTCTTCAGCTCCTCGATATTTCTATATCTTTTTTTGCTCTTTTACAAGGTTATTTTTAGTCTACAAGAAATTGTGATTGAAAATTACCAAGCATATTTTTAAATTTGAAAATGAGTGTTTAAATATCTAATCCAAAATACATTTACTATAAAATTAATATGAAAATACATTTTGAATTAGGGTTTGAGAAAGTATTTTCAAACTGGTTATTTTATTTCTAATTAATTCTTTTAGAAATATATCTCAAAACAACTAATTTGAAATGTATTTCTAGACAAATCAATTTAAAAATACATTTCAAAACATCTAATATAAAATATGTTTCTTCTAAAAATATATTTTAGAATATTCAGTATAAATACATTTTTGTTAATCTCAAAAATATCATCCTATTTTAATTATGGATAAAATATAATTTATTTCAATCAAGATAGTTCATGAATAAACTATACTGGTAGAGGAAGAATAAGCCTTTGTTTTTGCATAACATTTAAGTTGTTTCGGCTTGACAGATATAGAAGATGTCTTTCTAAAATCGTAGAAGGATGTAGTCTCATCTCATCCACTCGACCATGACGATGATAACTAGTTGTTGTAAAAGCTGACAGAGACACGAATAAACTTTATTTTTGAAGCGTGTATAACTACTGTCCTTAAGGATTTATTTGCGGTATATTGCGCAAGTCCCCCAGGATACAATAGGAACTTCTCGGAATATCCAAGGATCTCAGAAACTAGCAAGAAACTCTTAAAAGAGTAAATTAACACAGGATCACAGAAAGAAGATCAGATGAGAGAAGATGGGAGAGGTCTATTATGAAGAGTGTGAAGTAGTCTCTATTTATAAGAGAAAATCTGTAGCAATTATGGAAGACTTGGTAGTGGGTCTGAAACGTTCTCTGAAACGTTCTCTGCAACTTTCTCTGCAACGTTCTCTGCAATGTTCTCTGAAACGTTCTTCTGTAACGTTCTTCTGCAACGTTCTCTGTAACGTTCTGCAACGTTCTCTGAAATAGTCTTCTGTGTGTGAAAACACGTTCTCTGAAATAGTCTTCTGCAACGTTCTCCGAAACCATCCTTTGCAACGTGTGAGAACACGTGCTCTGTTTTGCAATACCCCTTAATTTACAACAATCCCCCACGTATTGCAAAACAAAAGAAGATAAAAGAAATAAAAGAAGAAAATCCTGGGTCTCATATAAGATGTAATGCATCAGAGCTGATATAGCAAATTATATGAACCAGTCTTAGACTAAAAAACTTAACACACAATGTAGTTGGTGTAGCAAGCTATATGAACCAAAACACTTAATGTGTGCTAGCGGTTTTAATAATCACAATACACCCCCACAATTCTTGTTGTTATCGCTGTGTTGCGCTTATTAGGACATGCGCGTGCCCGGTATTCATGAGTGCTCTAGAAATCTTGCAAAGATCTCATACAAGCGGCCCCACTCGACACTCATATAGGTGACTTCATCAAGCGTATGCTGCAAATCATACACCACCCTTAAGGGATATGAAATCGTTTAAAAACTTTGTTTAGATTAAAATTCATACACCACATAGAATTTTAATTACAAAGTTTAACCTGTCAATGATGCAGTATCTAGCACTTTCACATATACACCATATGAATGAACATAATTGATTTTAATCAATTTTAGTGCTAGTAGGACTAACAAGTGACTTGTTTTTATCCATATGAACCTTATTCATGGGATCTCCAATCACAAAGGTTGGGTTACCATCACCTGTTTGTTTGCAAGTTGCTTAAGTCTCATTACCCTCGATGTTTCTAAAATCATATTTCTCGCTAAGGATTTTGTCAGAGGACCTGTTTTTTCCATTGTAATTCTTATTTTTTGCTATAGCTATTGCCGATTGACAATCACAATGTATTGATACCGACAGGATCGATTTCATTCCTAATGAAATGTTTACTAAGAAGTTTTTCAACCACTCAGCTTCATTACCAGTCATTTCGAGAGCAACAAATTCAGATTCCATTGTTGATCCACTAGTGCAAAAATGACATTTTACGTCACCCAATTGTCGTCGCATGTCAAAATATTCGACATAAATAAAACGCGGTAGCAATTTTGTAAATAAGAGGTGAAACTTTTACGTCACATATTGTAGGAGGTGACGTTAAAAACCTCTTTTACGTCGCATTTGGTATAACGCAACGTAAAAGAGAGCTTTTTAAGTCGCGTGGGGTGTGCGCGACATAAAAACTGATACTTTTTACGTCACGTGGGGGGTGTGCGACGTAAAAAGTATCATTTTTTACGTCACATGGGGGTGCACGACGAAAAAA